AGTGTCAGATACAAGTAAACTTCTTTCATTAAGGCCTTAAGACACAGCACTTTTAAGCAAGAGTTAAGCATTTTGTTTAAATCATTCTTTATATCAGGATTAGCTACTTATCTTACAGTAGATAAAAAGCAAAATAAGGTAGAGGAAAGACATGGGCACTCAGCTAGGTCATAACCCAACCTTAAATCTCTGGCTTTGTTGTTTTTGTTACCACAGCACAATATTGCAACGACGATTTGAAAATGTATGATCAAAATACCATTTGCAGCCTCATCTGGCGGGATTGACCAAAGTTCGTCTTGTTGATGCTACTACATGGATTGAGTCATGACAGGTCCCTTCAAATGTCAAAGCTGTTATTGTGATGCAACAGTGACAGCTACACACTGATAGGCTATTAGAAAGGGTTCTTCTGCACACAGGCTTGCTTTATGTTTCACCCTTACATAAGGTGTTCTGCCAATGTGGATGATATTAACACCTGAAAGAGCAATCCAGCATTATTTTAGAGGGTTTTGTATTTATCCCAATTCTTATAGAGAATATACTGAATCTTGTATGCCTCACTTAACAGATAAGTGAGAAGGGAATTAATTTGGGAAAGCTTTGTGAATGCATTACAAATACAAGTCTACCTTACCAGAGAACTTTGTTAGTGGCTTGGGATTATAAGTGAGTCTTTAAAACTAGAATCTTTCCAATTCACCTTCAAAATTGGATTTTGACCCCACTGCTAGAAGAAACTTCCGGAGTGCGCACACAAAGCCAAACCTTTCTCTTCAAACGTGCTGCAGATCAGTGGCACCCGTAACTCACTCATTGTATGAGACAATGTGATTGCCATCAGAAAAGTAACCGGGAACGGTTTTCAAGACTCAAAATACCACTTCTATCCCTGGCACAGCAGGATCTTAATTTGAGGTTGATAAACCTTGATAACACCAAACTGCTGGAGACTGAAGAGAAACCAGGTATTGTGCTTTCCACAAGTTACTGACGTGATGGTACCGTAAACACAATAAATCATTTTTTCAGAGATCAAATATATACAGATGGCATTCATGAAGATTACACGCAACAATATGGTAATCATTTATACTAGCAAAGTACATCATGCTTCATAAATGCAGAGGATGCCTGCCTTGAATCACGTGAAATAATCTAGTTTGAGGCAGTAGATGTTATGCAAGAGTAAGGTATATAAAACATTTGTTAAGCTTGAAACAAAAAGAGCATCTAACATACTATTTTGGGGACACATTCCAACAAATCAAACCTTGCATTCTAACTTCTCAGAAGAGAGGATGAATGAACTTCTGAGAAAAGAGAATGAGGGCACTGCACTGCATATCTTGGGATGGAAAAGAATGTTCAGCCTTTTGTTAACGAGGTCTGGAGAACTTAGCTTCCTGATCTTAGAAGAATGGCTATGGTCACCTTTTTATCAAAAGCGATGGCCCTATTAAGATCATGGAATTACTCTGTTAAGATCTATAAATTGTGTGCAATAGAGAACAGATGTGATCAGTATTCCCCAGTGATTGTATCAAGTGCTAGTAATAGCAACTGGTATTTTCCTCTGGAAGACTGAATTTCCCATGCAAGCTTGAGATACTTCATAATTTGAGCCACAGCTAATGACCAAGATGACATATGCCCGGCAAAATACAGATACTTCCATTTTTTCCTATATGAAATAAGTCTAAACACTAACAAGAGAAAACTATAATGAAACTTTTCCCTGTTTAATGGGTTAACCAGTTAAACATAACAGATAACTGATTATCTGGGATTTTACATCCCTACTTGCTATGTCAAGAAAAATGGAAATGATGGTTTGATGAACAGAGAATATTTACTCCACTAAAAACATGTGTGAAGCGCATAAAGGATCTTCTCTTAAAGTAAAGTTTAACAACAAAGCAAGTTAGAAATAGCTCCCCCGAGACCATATGACCCTCCTATCCCCCAGGAGGGGGAAGCCAAAGATTACACCTTAAAAGAAAATTATCCATCAAGAAAACAATTAATCAAAGAAAAAAAATCACAGGCTTCCAATCAGATTCAAGAAAACTCATCAGCCATTAGTTGTTGCAGAGGTAATTGTTCTAAATCTATCAATAAAGCTAAGCTGCTCCTTCATTGACTGCAAACAGCAATTTCTTTCACAGAGGATTATAAGTTGATGTTCATGGTCTTACTTCTGCCATTAGGGTGATAAACAGTTTAAGCTACATCAGGACCTGACATGTAGATCAATTCTAGGTCCATAAAGAATCTATACAAGAGGTTCCCAGACAGGGATTTACTGCCCCAGTTTTTATTCTCTTGCTGCTAAAATTACTTCTGTCAAACAAGAGTAAGAAAAAATGTATAAAAATTAATTTTTCATGTAGTCCTGGAAGAGTGTTTTTCAATTCAGAAACCTAAAGCTGAACACGCTTCCACATTTAAAATTATGTTTAGCAGCATGTGGTATTTAGCCAAATAGTGATCCAAACCTGTGATTTGCTCACTATCAAGCAGACAGCAATTTGAAACATTGAACTAAGCCGTCTAGCTTTTCTCTAAGGGCAGTCACAGGCTTCATGTTACCAGTGCCAAATTATATTAGACATTTAATTTTAAACCTCAGGTACTTAAACGTAAAACCTTACAACAGTAATAGTCATAAAGCAGTGGGGCATTCCATTTCAGAGAATGGATTTTTCTATTTTTTCCCCTTTAATTTAACCAGCACCTCCTGTTTTGTGGCTCTGCCCACTACAAAGTAATTTATCTAATTAGGAGATGTTCACAGCCGCTTAAAAGACAGAAGCCCCAGGAAACCAAAGGTCTGAAGAGGAAGACTTTGAAAAGTTCTGCGGAGCCACACAAAGTATTAATTTAATGTGAAAAAAGGTGCAGAGAAAAATTGAATCCCAATATGTTATTTTGTCTACAATAAAACCACGTGATAATAAGCAGGCATATTCGCCAGTACATTGGCATTTGAATTCCAAAAGATGCTTTGCTTCTCCCTATCCCTGCTGCTTTCACAGCACTATCTTTTTATGATTCTAAAATTCAAAACCTTTTATTGGGGCAAAAAAGATGAAATTAAAAAGGGTTTTTCATGTGTCAACTGCCAGTATAAGGGATAAAGTTCTACAAGCTAAGTGAAAGAGGATACACTGATGGAGATGAATCGTGTTGAAGTTTTTTAAGTAGTTTGATCAATCACAATAGTTATTATTTATGTTGTCATTTGTTTGTCTAAGACTGTCCATTAGCATCGACCTAATGAGAAGTTCTCCTAGTACTTTCAAAGTGTAAAAGTAAAGCAGAACATACTACAAACACCACTTTTCTGCCATTATTTACTTTTCAGTAAGTGTAGCACAGCTGACGGTAGCTGATGTCTCTTATGATCCAGAAGTAATTACGTATGATGGCCAAGTTATAAAACAGCACTAAATGTCCTTAATGTAAAGGAGCATAAAATGTAGCCGGGTGTAGGTGAAAGGGATGGCCTCTCTTTCGTACCAGCATAGATAACACACTCACGAGTACTGTAGGGCTTGCCAACATAAAACCCCAAAAGTTAAGAGCAGCAGATGCAGCCAAGGCAGCAACAGTTGAGTGTACACACACACACACACACACACACACACACACACACACACACACCCCACCCCACACAGAATGCGTCCTGAGATCCTTACAATCACCGCTATTTTAAGAAATAGCCTTCAAAGCTGCAGTTCTTTTTTCTCTAATTCTCTTTCATCATTCAGTCTTGTCCACGGGTATTCCCAGTTTAGGAACACCCAGAGCACAGAGAATCAAGTGTAAAACAAATTTTGCACTTGATGGGGCTTTACTAATATTAATGGAATCCTCAACTCTCCATGTGAGGTAAGTAGCATAGACCCAATTTACAGATGGGACTACTAAGGCAGAAAGTGACTTGACTAAGGTCACTAAATTATGTGATTATGTGAATAATTTATTCCAATTATTCCTAAAATTGGAATAAAGTACTTCCTTGTTCTCAATCCCCACTGAACCACAGCACCTTTCATGCTATTCAGATATTCCCTCTTGAGGCCAAAGCCCACAAAGCGTGTGTGGTAGAGGAACAAGCTCAACTACAGTTTGTTACAAATTTGTAGGGAACATGTAGCAGCTCAGGCAACACCTTTGATGCAACATCAAGTTGGTCTGGGATCTTTTCAGAAATCAAGGTATCAATGACAGCTGATTTGCTTGCCCTACAGGCTACCCTTAGGGGGCTGTATGAAAATAATCAATATTCACTGTGATTTTGTTGGACAAACCACTCTGACAAACTTGCCACCCTTGTGACTAGTCAGCATTTTCAAGCCTCTCTTCACAACAGAGATGACTAGAAAAGGTTTTTTTTAAAAAAGAGGAAACAGAGTAGCCTTGACATTTAAAAATTCCTCCAGTCTAGGTTATGGAGACATGATTCACACATCCCAAAGGTGGGCTCTGCCTAAGATAACCAATGCAATTACTACAATAAAAATATAATAATGAATAGTTCAAAATTTAAGACCAGGAACAAAAGGAATAAGAGGGGATGAGAACTAGTTGCCTCCTTTCACAGATGCAGTGAAGATGTCTCGGAAGCTATGCACATAGAAAGCAACTTTAGCTTTGCTTTGCGGGCCTATGTGCAACTTCTAACTTGGGGTAGATGACAGCACAAGGCATTTCCTTCCTGGTGCAGTTTATGTTTGCTGCCTCCACAGCATGGCTAGCCTCTGCATCTCACAAGAAGAGATGTTCTTTCCAATTTCTTATCCTTTTTTCTGTTTAAATGGCCGCAGTTTTGCTTAGGACAATGTATACAGCCGTGGATATTCATGGCTCATTTTTGTGGCTACAGATGCAGATACAAATTCTGGATCCATGTAGGCTCTAGCAATGTACCCAGAGGAGTGACGTCAATCCTTAAGAAGAACTCTAGCACAAAACCTCAGCTTGTCTCTTACCACTGCTGATGCCAGAGTTTGCAATGACTGTTGCCTCGCTCCATTGGTCAGCACTGGAAACTGAGTAGGAACGCTGATGCATACCATCGGGGCGACTGTTGAAGGAGACCAGACTGATCCCGCTTGCCATCTGAGATACAGACGTGCTAGTAGTCACATTTCCTAGAAACAACCAAAAACCATGTTACCGTACAAGAGAATGCTGATTTACACCAAGGAGAATAAATCTGATTTTGCCACAGAGACCGTGCCAATTTCATTCACGTGGAGAACCACCACTGCACTGAATGCAAGGTTCCCTAAGCTTTCAGAAGCTGAGCTCCCCTTGTCTTTTTCTAGAAAATAAAAATATTTGCAAGCTCGCCTGGGCATCCCTGATATATGCTGCTTAAAGTCTACACATATTAGTTTAAACTTCCTCTGGATTGCCCTAGTTAGTCCTCCAGACATGCCTAGCCAGTGTGTGCCTCACACTTTGGGAAGTGTTGGCTTAGTGGATAAGAGACATGTTAAAATAACCCCAATCCTTAAAAAGCAGCAAGCAGACCACCCACTGTACCGTTACAAATACAAAACTTTCTATTTTCATTGCCCTTTCTGTTAGAATACACATTTTTGGTAATGCTCTGGGGCCTCTTCACCTTGACATAGCTTAGGATCAGAGCTGAATTAAGACCTGTGGAGATTTTAAGAATTTTCATATTTAAAAGCTTTGGACAAAAAATTATTTGACTCACTTTAGGTCAAACTCACTCTCTTTGGAGAAGCAAAACAGCAGTAATAGACTGTCATTTAGGTTTAGAGAACAGCTACCCACTTTGCCAGTAGATGGGGTGAATCTGCTAATGTAGAAATATCTGACACTCCTCAGTTGTCCTTTGCGAGCTCCTCTACAGAGCAAACTCTAGCACAGGTGAGCCAGTAGCCCAGCTGAAAACAGTCTCAAACTCAGGGATGGCATACTGATCAGGGTGTGGATCAAGAGCAAATGTTGCTGCTCATCTGATCCCACTATGGCATCAAACAGTCTCAGCAACTGAAGCATCTGCTTTAATGTTCCAGGAAGGCTTATTATTCCCTCACCTGGTGGCTGACTTAAGTTTCTGAGCACAGCACTCCAACATTTTCTGTCTTTAGGCCACAGCTAGGAGATGTTTGGCCTTATGCATCTCAAGGAATAGAGTATGATCACACTACAGATATTTACTATCTAAGGATTGAACAGCCTACTTGCCTGTGGAAGTGCGTGCTATTATCATGCCTCTATTAGCTGAATTTGGGATCTTAGGTGTTGCACATTAGAAACGTTCTTATTGTTTGCTTTTGGAATCAGGTAAATTCTGTGATGATTTATTTGACCAACTGAGAAGCAGCTGAATGAATGTGTTAGAGTTTTGAACTTTTTCTTTTATCTGAAAACAAAGCAATACTACTTGCACTTCCTTGATCTCAAAAACCACTTTTGTATCCCATTAAACTCTAAACTTCTCAACTATGCTTACCTTATTAAAGTCCTCTCACAACACAATGATACCCTCTTCTCTATCCACATATCATTTTGGGTTCCCTTACTTTTAAGTTTGATCTCTGGAGGAGTGTAAAGATGCTTACATGTATTTCATTTTATATTTTACTTGGTTTAGGCCTAGTTTACCAAATGTATAGCTTTTTTCCTAGGCTTTTTCTCAAATTTCTACATTAGTCTTCAATTCCCAATTGGCTTTATTGAGCAATCCACCTATTCAGGGTGACAACAGAGTGATCCCACATTTCTGTTCACTGTGGCATCTATTTTAGCACCTTTAGAATACAATAGGCAAATGGCTTTGGCAATACTTTATTTTTCAGAAGTGGAATTAAGTTTCCTATTGAGAAACTCCTCAAAAGGCATCTCCAACATATTATAAATGGCACCCAACATACCAAACTGAACAGTGATGCTATGTACCTCTCACTCCATGCCAAGTAAAAGGAGAAGAGTTATTTTTGATGAATTCCTATGAGAGAATCTTCATAGCAGAGACTTGACCTCTTTTCATTCTAATCACTCAGCAGAACCATATACTAATTATGTCAGTTCAAATTCACAAGGAATTTTAGAAAGTTGGGAACAAATATGGTAGGACCCGGGAAGTTAGTCCTTAGTGACCCATAATGCAACCCAACTGAGCTTTGTTTTGTGTCCAGTGATACAATTTATCAGCTTTCTGATTGATCTTGCAACCAAATAGCTACTTAATCCATTGCAGGCATTTGTACAATATTCAATCTTGTTTGAGGTCACTATATTTTTAAAATAAACCAAACTCCAAAAAAGTCCCAATGTGGTCACTGACCTATCAAAAAGACTGATCTACCTAAAAATGAATTAGAGATAGGTTTCTCCAACATACTCTGAACAGACACTGGACCAATCCTGTGAATGACAACCTTATTTATTTGAACTTAAATACATTTTCAATCTATGGCCAGGTTTACGCTAGGGGAGAAAAACCAATCTAAGATACGTAACTCCAGCTATGTGAATAGCGTAGCGAGAGCTGATGTACCTTAAATTGAATTTCCGCAGCCTCCCTACGGCAGGAGGTCAAAGAGAGAAATTATCCTGTCAACTACCCTTATTCCTTGGGACCTAGTAGAGTACTTGAGTCGATTAGAGCACGATCAGCAGTCGATTTAGCAGGTCCTGATTAGACCCGCTAAATCAAACTCTGAGAGATTCATCTCCATCAGCATCTACCTCCTGGCAAGTGGAAACAAGCCCTAAGGTTAATTTTTCACTTTTCCTTTAGGTTAAATGCCTGGACACGTCTATCCAGACGTGTTAAGTTAACAACAATGATATTATACTCGCATCCAAATGGAGCCTTGTTAATCCCAACTGCTATTCTTATGGACTTGTTCTGCCACACAAAGCTTCAGGAAACACTCCTACTCATTTTTCTCCTCCAGGAGGCAAACTCCTCTTACCACCTTCAAGAAGCAATATTTCTTTAATTTTACATGTCAGGATTCAGCGCCAGTGGCAAAGAATCATAGCAGTCTCTTAGCAGACAAGACAGCCAGCTCAAAATATGAACCCAACAATGTTCACTGAGAAGTAGATTCTGCACATTATGGTAAGATACATATTATGAAGTGGTTCTTATAAAGCTTTCATATCTAAAGACCTTAGAAGCTGTACTTGCTGTACTTTTACATCTGCCTCCCTCTCTGTCTCTCTCAATATAGCAACATTAACATGAAATACACGGTCAACTACATAGTCCATTCTGTGTTCTGAAAAAGTGCTTCTTCAAATACATCATATATGCATCAGCTGGTTGCTTAAGTTGATTAGCAGGGGGCAGTTAAATTACTATGCTAATCCGTGTATTCTCAGCACTATTTCCTTGATATGGATATGTGTATATGCTTACTGGGAAGCCTTGATTAGTTCAAGCTTCAATATGTCAAAGGCTCCAGTTTCTTTCCAAAGAATAATTTTAGCTGTACTCACAACCCTAAAGTGTAGGAGCTGATTTGAAAAGGTACTTACCTCTACCATATGCTATTTTTCTTTAAACAATTTGCATTTCAAAGTGAACATGGCATTTATATTTGAATGAATATCAGTATGTTGCCAGAACTGGGCTCAAATGAGCAAAAAAGATGCTGGTTTCCTATTGAACAAAAATGTTTTCATCTACCAAAGCAGCATCAAAAGAAGAATTCCTCTTTCTAGCTCTAGGCAGCTTTAGAACATTTAAAACCATCTTTTCTGATATTATAAAATATCCTGTTATGATACAAGTTAGCCGATGATTCAATTATACTGTCACAAACACGCTTTTCAAAGACAAATCACAATTAAGATTCTAGGCACAGCCCCAATTTTAGACAATTCTTTAAAAAAAAATCACCTTTCAACAGAGAGATTTTTAATATGAAGCACTGGTGCATGCATGAGGGATAAAATATATGCTTTATTTACTCATCAAGCCCTTGTGGACAGCATCAAATTGCAAAGAGAGTTCAAAAGGGTTACTTTCCCATATAATAGGCACCATGTAGCTGGATGAAAATAGGGTAGCATTGTTCCCATCAGTGCCTGTGTGAACAACTCATCAACAGAAAATAAACATCTGGATTGCGGCAAGAAAAGACCCCCATTCACATGGAAAACACCGCCCCAATCAACACGATCTTCACAAATATGTCACAAAATCACTAGATTCTACAGAACTCAAGTGTATTATTTTTTAAAAGTATCACTAATGAAGATTTATCCAGACTTACACTGTCATGCAAGCCATTCAACGCCTATGTGGTACCACCTAGTCAATTATCACAAGAGCCAATGAAAATTGTACGGTATGAAATTTTTCAGTAAAGATTATTAAATATAGAGTGAGGAGAATAAAAACATTTTTATTCTGAAGCAGCAGTTTGCTCTGCAGGGGTTGGTAGTTTGTTTGCGCAATTTTAGGAACTACTGCACTACTAATGGTGAGTGCTTCTGTAACTCCTGCCTTTGTCCAATGCATGTCATCTCAGCCAACATAAAACAACACAGAAAGTGTTCTCGAGAACCATCACTGGGCAGCACAGGTCATTTTAATGGACACATCACTTCCAACTAAGCCTTCACCATCTGTTCCACCCCCTAATTACTAACGCAAAAAGAATATAATTCACAACTGTACCATAAAAAAGTAAGCTACAGATAATTTAAATGCATGCAAGAGGCCTTGGTTCATGGCAGCATGTGCCTTTGTGATTTCCCCCCACTCTCAAGGCGAACAACCGAGCTGTAAGAGGTTTGATCCTGGGCGCCCCCACTGAACTATTTGCCAAGTAAGAGGTGATGTGATTATGCACACTGTGATACATTTTAGCAAGGACCTCTGTGCATGAGACCAGGAGAGAGATTACATTAGAACACAAGAAGGCAGGACACAGGGTCAACTCTAGCGCATTGCTCTGCCTTTACTACATTCAGGGTTTATTTGTGCTATGCTCTTCACGATCACTACAAGTTTCTCTTCCAAAAGGAAATAAACCTCTCAAGGCCAGAGGGCTCAGCTCTCCAGCTGTTAACACTAATGAAAAATACATTAGAGCAGAGGGTCAGGAAATCCTGACTCCTGGTAGCAGAGGGTTAATTGTACCAAATCATCGTG